GTAGTCGACCATGGTTCGAGTCCCAGACCCGGTGGCTTAAACTCATGCTAGGCACATGTGTGTGCATGCCCAAGATCCTGAGAGGAGAGTGGAGGGGAAGTGGTTGCATCATGTCCATCCCCCTGGGGGTTGATTTCTCGCTTTCTGTCTCTCTGTCTTTCTGGTGAGTGCACGTGCCCTATAGCAAAAACCTCTCCAAAAAAGAAAAAAAAAAGTAAAATTTTGACAATATTTAAGATTAATAGCCATCTAAGAAGTTTGGTTTTGATTCAGAATGTGACTGACCTCCTCTCTCTTTCTATGAACTTTCAGACCCTGGAATAGAACAAGACTCCTCAGATCATGAAAGAAGTAAAAGAAAGAGGTTGGGGCTAGAGAAAAGGGGTGGTAGGAACCCAAGAGTGCCTGAGGAACACAGTGGCTATGCTCTACAGATTCAAAACTAGAGACCCACATGTTTCAGCCAAAAACAAAAAGCTAAAGCACTCAAACTCACTTTATGGGTAATTCTAGAACAGCTTTCTATAGCATAAAGGTGACAGATGTTGGAAGCCCTACCAAACACAGTTCCTCATCACACTAATTCCACAATCAAAAAGATGGTTTTCGGCATTTACTTCAGGGCAAGGAGTCCATTTTCACACCATCAAACGCCATCACCCACAAGAAAGCCCAACCCAGGTCAGCTTTCACTAAAGAACACAGCTACACACACCAGTCTCACCTTTTTATTTTTTGGAGAGGTTTTCGCTTCGCTATAGGGCACGTGCGCTCACCAGACAGACAGAGAGAGACAGAGACAGAGAGACAGAAAGCGAGAAATCACCCCCAGGGGGGATGGTCACACCGCAATCCCTTCTCCTCCGTTCTCCACTCGGGATCTTGGGCACGCACCCACATGCGTCCAGCGTGTTTTAAGCCACCGGGTCTGGGATGCGAACCGCGGTTGACTATGCGGGAGTCCAGCGACATAGCCATTACGCTAACTGCTGGTTCCCCAGCCTCACCTCTTTTGAAGAATAGCCTCCTTTCAATACACTGGGTCGCGATGAAGAGAATTGAAGCATTATGAACACCCTTGAGACTAAAAAAATGGAGAAAAAAGGATTTACGACTTCTTCCCCCCCCAATCTAAGTGTGATATACATCTCAATACTCTCTTTTTTCTTTGGATGCAAAAGAAGTTGCTGTTCTGTCTGCAGGCATGTCCCCACTGCTCTGCCAACCCTGAGCACAGCAGTCCAGAGCTGTTGGTGTGTGAGATCTTGAGAGCGAAGCCTACCGAGGCATGAAGGAAGAAGAAGTGACCCGCCAACTTCCAAGGGGGGCCAGCCTGAGGAAATGAGAAAAGCAACAACCACCACAACGGGTGAGAAGGCAAGCACAGCTCCACCATGGGTAGCAATGAGGTGCCAGCGGCTGTCCGCGGCATCTTGATTAAACATGTTTGGTTTAATGTTTCGCTAGCAATTCATTTCCTCTACCATTTTTGCGTCTTCTAGGAGACCAGGAAAAGTCACGTAGCTGCTTATTAACAGCTGACTTGGGACAAACGGATGGCGCATTCTCTTCCCCTGGGGCATTCTCTTCCCCTGGCCTCACCCACAGGGAAGTAGAATATGAGACGTGCTTGGATGCATATCTGAAGATCGATGCCCATTTATGGGGTAGCTTTTCAGAGTTCTGCAGAACTCTCTGAATCTTCCAGACTCTTTGAATTGTTTAAGGTGAAGACGGGCTTTGTGTTCACTGTGTTCTGTGTCTTTAAGTGAAAGCATTTGTGACTGCTGCGTTAGAAGTATCCTCTGAAAGTCATCATCGACTCCTCCAGACCCAGCTCTGACCCTCAATTAGCCTTGACATCACTTCCCTGTGCTAGTCCGTGATAAGCATTCCCGTAGAAGAAAACCTTTTAATGGACTCTCTAGACGCATAATCTGCATCTTTTGGCGGCATCCCCTCCAGGATGGAGGGCACGGAGAGCAAGCCACTGTTCCACAAGAACGTCTCCTTCGGAACCTTGTAATGCAGTAGGGAAAAGACATTTTTGTTCTCTCTCTGCCTTTGCTTTTTGTTTTTGTTTTTATTTTTTGCTTCTGAGGTCTGAGTGCGGAGGTTAGCTGCACCCACCCATTTGAATTTAATCTGTCTTTGTACAAACAGCTTGTATTAATTCTCTAAGCAGCGGTTCGAAAAATAAACACGATCATTTCAGAATTTCAACACAAAGAGCATTATTTCTACCTCATTAACAATGAAGTGCTTAAAGAAAATACCCAGGCGCGCTCATTTCTAAGACTGGCGTGGAGGAAGTCAAAGGGCCTTGCTGCTTTTTCAAGGCTGTTTCCATCACAGCGGGCAGCAAGCTCTTCGAGGGCAGGGCTTTGTCTGCAGCCCTGGGCACAAAGTGCTGATGAACATACTAGGCGCCCAGCAGGCAGCTGACCTGCGGAACCGCACTTACTAGTCCGCAGTTCTCAGTAAGTTTTGCCAACAGCGGGCCAACTTCTGTGTTGGTATGTAGCACGGGGGGCTAAAATGAACAATTAAGGGGCCAGCAGGTGGCGTCATGGTTAAGGCTCTGGATCCCACATGGACCACCACGGTTTGAGTCACGGACATGGGAGGCGTGTGTGTGGGTGCCCAAAATCCCAAGAGGAGAATGGAGAAGGGACTGTGGAATGGCCATCCTCCCTGAGGGGCGATTTCTCATTTTCCCTCTCTCTGTCTCTCTCTGGTGACCATGCACACCCTACGGCAAAATCATTTGTAAAATTATTTATTTATTTATTTTTAGGTTTTTACCATAGGTGTGTGTGTGTGCTTACTGGAGACAGACAGAGAGGAGAGAGGGGAAAGTGAGAAATCACCCCCCAGAGTGGATGGGCCACGCTGCAATCTCTTCTCCATTCTTGTCTCGGATTTGGGGCATGCACAGACATGTGTCCACTGTGATTTTCAACCCACCATGTCTAGGACTCGAACCACAACTGACCATGTGCGATCCCAGTGCCTTAACCACCATGCTACCTGCTGGCCCCAGCAAAATAATCTTTTAAACCAAGTGGCTATATTTATACTTTCTGTCACCCTCCAAACTGCATTCCACCTTCACCCTTGCTCCCAGAGATAAACTGATCACTGTCGGAGAAAATATAATCCTTTTCTTAATCTGGGACCATGAGATTCTATGCAAACTCTTCCAGGGAGCACACACACCCTATGGCAAAAACCTTAAAAAAAAATCTGTTTGGTGAATCTACCCAGAGCCAACTGGAGTACACAGATTGCTGCTCAGGACACAGGGCCAAAGCCCTGGGACAGAGGAGGCCTGGAGTCTGAAGCTGGGCCTCCCCCGTGTCTCATATACTGAGTCATCTTTGGGGAACACCAACATCTGTGTTCTGCCTCTGGGTCCACTGAGGTATGAAGAACTCTTGGTCTCCACAGTCCTTATATATCTCAGTTATTAATAGTATTGAGTTCTTACACTGACTTACTAAATTTGTGAACCCCTCCCAGAGTGTCAGGTATACACCTGTTTGTCAGTGTTCCCACCTGTAGTAACTTCTCTCAGTCCCTTCTACCTCATCCTCTTAATCCTCTAAAGGGTCTGAAAACCAGACAGCTACATTCATTCAATCTGTATGCAAGTCCAGAGCACACAGGCTAGGGGCCAGCAGGTGGCAAAATGGTTAAGGCACTGAACTTCCACATGGTCCACTGCAGTCCAAGTCCTGGACTCAGAAGCCTGAAAATCACACTGGGTGCGTATGTGTGTGTGCCCAAAATCCCAGGAGGAGAACGAAGGAGAGGGGATTGCAGCATGACCATTCCCCCAGGGGTTGATTTCTCACTTTCCCTCTCTCTGCTGAGCTAGCGCAAGCGCCCTATGGTAAACAAAAACAAAAACAAAAACTCCCCCCAAAATAAAAATCACACACACACACACACACACACACATACACACACACAGAGTCTGCAGTGAGAACTGAGGGGGTTTCTGGGCTAAGGCTAAAAATGCGAAAATATTAGGACAGTGACATTTCCTTGAAGATCTCTTTCTACGGAGGTAGAGTAGATTCTGTGTGTGCTTTGGAATCTCAAGGTTGCCATGCAATAATGTGTATGTCACTGCAGCACAGACTCGCACGCTGTATCTACTATGATGGCTCTCTTAATTTATTTACAGATCTTTGATTTTATTTCAGTTAAATGAAATTATTAACTGAGTTCCAGATGGGTGAGCCACTACTGTACTTAATTTTCATTCCACTATGCACATTTGAACTTAATGACACTGTTAATACTGTGTGATTTACTGGAAGATTCTTCAGCATACACAGTGTGAGAGGAGGGTTTATTCTTCACCCTAGGGGCAACTCATTAGCATATGAAGAACTCTAATCAGGAATGCACACTTCAGGTGTGCTTAGTTAGCCTTTGACAAATTCTAATCAGTTCACATGATCAGAAGTCTGTTACAAGGTTTCAACTATTTTTATCTCCATCACTCCTAAAGAGTGTGTAATTAAGATAAAGGACATGAATTTTCACTAGTAAAATAAGTGGTTTAGAAATAGTTGGATTGGTTCCAAATACCATACAGGTACTACCAGTACCATGTAGTTCTTTTTTTAGAGTTTTTTTTATTTGCCATAGGGTGCGTGTGCTTGCTGCAGAGAGAGACAGACAGAGATCATGAGAGGAAAGGTGAGAAATCGCGCCGCCCCAGAGGGGATGGCCATGTCACAATCCTTTCTCCTCCACTCTCCTTCTGGGATCTTGGGCATGCACACATACCTGGTGTGTTTCAAGTCACCGGGTTTGGGACTTGAACTGCAGTCGACCACATGGCAGTTCAGTAACATAACCACTAGGCCATCTGCTGGCCTCACCATGAAGTTCTTTGGAGTGGCATTCCCTGGGGCCTTGCTCCATCCTGGGCTAGACCACTGAGTTGGATTCTGGCTGGAGGGTGACCTGCTAGCCCCAGTAGATTACACCTGCATTACACCTCCATGCCAGGAGCCTGTCAACATCTCCAAAGTGTAGGAGATTAACTGCCCTCTCTGGTGGATCCAGTCTAATTGGTAGATTCTGTTGGAGATGGATGGTCTTCCTTCTCCTTCCACCCTGGAGTAGGCCAAGGTCATTCAGAGCAGACATACCCCAAATAAGTCTCTAGTCGCACCATCTGTGTTTCCGTAGTCCTTTCACTGTACCTTGGAGGGTCATGTCCCTTTGAAGGTACTGGAGAGTACTGTCTGTTGATGTCACTGTGCACGGATGGGCAAGGTGCTCAGGGAACCTCCTTTCCATCCTGGTCCTGGCCACAGAACTCAGGAGTGCTGAAACAAATTTTAAGGGACTGGAACTCCACCGGTGCTGGTGGTGGTATCTCCATGCTAACTCCAATACCTACTCACATCGCCCACCCTCAAAGCAGAGTTGCAGCTACAGGTGGTCTAGGGTTCTCTATAAATGGGATAATAAACAGCCTTCCTAGTCCTAGAGTATTCTGGGGAGTATTAGGTTTTTCTTTTCTTTTTTTGAGAGATTTTTATTACAGGGCATATGTGCTTGCCGGAGAGACAGAGATAGAGAGACAGAAAGTGAGAAATCAACCCCCAGAGGGATGGCCATGCCACAATCCCTTCTTCTCCATTCTCCTCTGGAGACTTTGGGCATATATGTACACTTGCCTGGTGTGAGTTTTAAGGTACCGGATCCAGGACTCAAACCGTGGTCGACTATGTGGGAGTCCAACAATATAACCATTACACCATCTGCTGGTCCCAAGTATTAGATAGTTCTTTAGGTTCAATAAAATACAAAGATTGATGGCTATAGTCCTTAAGGAGTTTATGTTCTCATGAGAGAGCTACACATGGGGATTATTTCAATAGAATCTGGTAAATGTGAAGTTGAGTGATGCCCCTAGATATTACAGACTGCTGAGTGGGGGGACTTAGCTTACCCTAGGACAATCAGCCTCAAACCTTCTGGTCTCAGGACCCCAATTACAATTTTAAAAGATTACTGAGAACCCCAAAGAGTTTGTGTGTATGTGGGTCATCGTTATTGATATTATATGGGAAATTAAAACTGAGAAATGTTTTATTAATTCATTAAATTTATGCTAATAATGTAAAATTACATACAATGCATAAAGCAATACTTGTTAAGTGTATCAATCTCATAAAATAACATAATAAACCTGTTATGCGTTCACATAAATAACGTGTGTTTTCCACAGCAACAGCAAAAGCTGAGTGTGCAGAGTGTCATGGTTTTACACGCTGGCAACTCCTTGAGCGTCTGGCTTAAGAGGAGCAGCTGCTGCTCACACCTGCTTTTGCAGCCAGTCTTTTGCAATACGTTGTTCTGATTGAAGTCTCTGTAGAAAATCTGCCTGCACAGATGTGCTATTGGAAAAGAGAGGGCCACACAGACGCCCTGAGAGGGTCTTGGGGACACCCCTCCTCTGCTACCATGAGTCCTTAAGCCACATTTTGAGAGCTGCTGATTTCAATTGTCTGCAGGAGAGTTCTGAAGAATGAGTAAGGGAATACTCCAAGTCAGTGCTTCTCAAAAGAGAGACCAAAAAAAAAAAAAAAATTCACTGTGCATCTGAGGCAGCAAATGTCCAGGGAGGCCTGAGGGCCTGAATTTCTTTTTTCTTTTTCTTTTCTTTCTTGTTAGGTTTTTGCCATAGGGCTTGTATGCTCACCAAACGAGAGACAAAGAGAGGGAGAATAAGTGAGAAATCACCCTCCAGGAGGATGGCCATGCCGCGATCCCTTCTCTTCCATTTTCTTGGAATTTTGGGCACACACACATATGCCTGACGTGTTTTCTGAGTCATCAGGTCTGGGACTCAAACTGGACAGTCAACCCTGTGAGATCTAGCACCTTCACCACTACGCCACCTGCTGGCCCAAGGTCCTGAATTTCTAACAAGCTCCCTGGTGATACCGATACTGTTGGTCCCAGAGCCGTACTTTGAGGAGCAAGGATTTAAGCCAAAGAAACAGCATAGGTGGGAGGCCGGACGGTGGCCCAGAAGTAAACGCGATGTCTTGCAAGGCCGTCGGCATGGCATGTTCCAGGTTCGAGTGTCACGACTCCGGGGCTCACTGGTTGTGGAATGCAGTGTCCAGACCAAGTTGTGGATACTCTCTTGCTCTCTCTCTCTGTCTGTCTGTCTTTCTTGTTCATGGAAGAAATAAATTTAAAAAATGAAGACCGATGGGCTGGCAGTGTGGCCCAGCAGTAATACACTGTTAACAAGCTGGATCCCTCAGGGCAACTGTGGTTTGAATCCTTGGCTCTGTCAGACAGAGACACGCAGGAATGTGAATACCCAGGATCCAATGGGCTGAAGGGCTGCAGGAGGAGATCCCAGCATGGCCAGACCCTGTGAAGTGCCCCTGCCCTTCTGTCTTGCTCTCTCATTCTCGCATGCACATGCTCTCTATCAAGATTAACTTTTTTTTTTTAAGTTTTTGCCATAGGGTGCACATGC